ACTTGTCATCATAGTTGAGTTAATCAGACTGGGCAGCCCCCACCTCGCACAGCCAACTGTGGAGCCTGCCCTCTGGGGCCCTGGCCTGCACAGCTGCCCCACACCGGCTCCATCCTATGCACAGGCACAGTTGTCTATGCTTCACCCACTGATGAACACTTCAGTTGCTTCCATCTCTTGGCAGTTGAGAATAGTGCTGCTGTGAATGTGAGTGTGCAAATATCTTCTCAAATCTCTGCTTTCAGTTCTCTCGGGGATAGCATCCCCAAGAGAATTGCAGGATCATATGGTAATTCTGTTTTAAGAGGGGGTTTTTTTTGCACAATTGCCAGCCTGTTTTCCACAGCGACTGCACCATTTTACATTCTCACCAGCAATACATGCCAGTGGACTTTTTGAAAAGCCCCCAGAGGGTAGAGAAGGGGGCGGGTGTGCTCTTGAGAAGTGCTGACATGAATTCCCTGGAAATGCTGCCCTGGGGCCTCCTCCTGCGGCCCCGAACCACATGAGAGCCCTGGTCCTGAGTCACTTGCAAACATGCAGGGGACAGGAGCAGGAAACAGTCTGAACAAGAGTGGGCCCAGCTCTGAGGAGGTTCAAGGCTGGTGGTGGGGCTGGGGGGCTTCCAGGGGCAGAGAACAGCTTGGCCTACTGGTTGGGGAGGAGGGCTGCCTCAGGGCTGGATCCTCAGAGCAGCCCAGGCACCGTCAGCCCAGCACAGGGGAGCAGCCAGAAAAAGGGTCCTGATCGAGCAAGGGAGGGATGGGGAGGTGGGGGAGAGGGGCTGTGGGTTTGAGGACCAAGGGCTGGAAGGAGCCCAGCCCCTACCTCAGTGGGTGGTGTGTGGACTGACTGCACCTACAGCTGGATCTCGCCTGTGACTGAGGCCTGCATGGGAGGAGAGGGGCCATCCAGGGAGCTGGCACTGCCTTGGGGAGACACACCCACCTCGAAAACATGGTGTCTGGGGACTGGGCGAAGCCCTCCTGCACTGACTCCTTTCCCTTGTGGCTTCCCGTGTGCTGAGCTGGGGGTGCCTGGGCCCCCTCTGAGAACCCAGCACACCCAGTAGACGAGGGTGGGGGTGTCTGGAAAGTCAGCACCCCTTGCCCCCACCACCCAGGGCTGACAGTGGGTGCCCTTCCCTACCTTTTGCTAAAACAGGTGCCAGGCCACAGGGGTGCAGCCACCAGGTACCTCACTCTGTGGCATCTGGGCAGCATGGACATCATCCGGTGACAAGGACCTCGCTCCCCATGTGACACTGGAAGTGGCCGTCACCAGTCAGGACTGGAGAGACCATGGATGCAGGAACACAGCCACCATGCTCAAGCCAAGGGTGAATGGCTCTCCTTTTAAAATATTCTGTAATAGGGCTTCCCTATTCAATGGTTCAATGTTTAAGAGTCACCTTGCAACACAGAGGACACAGGTTCAGTCCCTGGTCTGGGAAGATCCCACACGCGGCAGAGCAGCTAAGCCTGCGAGATGCAACTACTGAAGCCTGTGTGCCCTAAGAGCCCGTCCCATGCTCTGCAACAAGAGAAGCCAGCGCTGAGAGGCCCGTGCACCACAACTAGAGAAAAGCCCGTGTGAAGCAACAAAGATCCACCACAGCCAATAAATACATGTCTTAAACATCCTTTAATACTGTTATGATGTCGGTCTTGCAATAAATAAAATTCCTATGATAAACAGAGGAGGCAGAGGGAGTGATAGACACAGAGAGCCAGAGAGCCGAGGCGAGAATAAAGCCTGGGGCGGGGTGGGGGGGGGGGGCGGCGGGAGCAGAAAGTCAGTGAGGCTGGGGAGGGAGCAAAAGGAGTTGGGCCTCAGGAGGGACGTGGGACATCCTGGCCCAGGGTCTGGGGTCCCTGGGAGCCCTGGCAGTTGGACACTGGGAAGGACAGGGCAGGACAATGCATAGGGTGCAGACAGCGAGCAGAAGGGGTAGATAATCTTGATGAAGTGCAGGGGCCCATGTGCACTGGCGCCCGGCACTGCCCCTGAGCTGGCACTGCACAAAGACACACAGACCTGGCCCAGGGACCCATGGAGATAGCGGCAGAGATGATGGGCCAGGTGTAGAACAGAGAACAGGAAGAGTGAATGACTCGAGAGATGGTTCCGAGAAGTGGGTGTGGGCAGAGGGGCTCAGATCTCTTGAGCAGATTCACTGAGATGAGGACTCGGGGAGGAAGCAGGTGAGGGCCGCAGGAGGGGGTCCTGGGCCATGACCCTGTCTGCGGAGCAAGGGAGAGGCCCAAGAGGACACCTCCTGGGACCACAGGGCTCGTGGGGAGAAGCTGGAGGAAGCCTGGTGGGGAAATGGGGTTGGAGCACGGGGACAAAGGGAAGCAGCCCTGGATCACAGCAGCTCCAGGGCCTGAGGCAGAGAGGACAGAGGACACCCAGTGGTGAGGCCTTGGACGGCTAGGGATGCATTCCCCAGAGATGCTGCTGGAGGGGCCTTGGAGGAACTAGGTGAGTGGTTGGGGACTGGGGGGCTGGATGGAGCTGAGGGCAGCAGGGGCAGTGTTGGGGAGGGGTCTGCACAGGAGGAGGATGGGGTGACCTGGCCACAGTCGCCGAGGTGCTTAGGTTCAGAGGTGACCTCATTAGCCCAGCCAGGAGCAGCTGGAAGGGTTTGGGGGATTGAGAGGCGTGGCCGCAGAGGGGGGTCTGGCAGGCCTGGCCCCCACCTGAGTGGAGGGGGAGGCTGCAGGGGGGAAGACAGGAGGGAGGCAGGGGTGCCTCTGCCGGCCTTGCTGAGCCCGGAGGAGACCCATAGGGCCTGCACACATGGGAACCCCCGGGGCCCCCAGAGCCACAAGTCGCCCCACTTCCTGCTGTGGATCAGGCCATCTGGGATCCAGAAATTGACCATGCTCTTCAAATCCCCTCAGGGGCTCCGTGTTCCTGGGGTTTAATAGAACATTCAGGCCTCTCAGCGAGCCAGAAAATCGCATTTGTACCCTGGAATGAGAAAACGTTCTCCTAGGTGGGAGAGGGCCAGCTCCTCTGCAGGGCACTGGCCATGGGCCACATGGTTGCAGAGGGTTTGGACAGACCTTCTCACCACTAAGGGGCTTTAGATGTCGTTCACTCTCCCTGAGAACTCACTTGAACCCGCCCGCCCACTGGATGGGCCGTTCAGATCAGAGCAGGTCGGTACAAGCTGAACAGTTTCCAGGTGGCTGCCAGGCTTCCCGGGCTCCACAGACAGCAGACACCTCCCTGGAAGGAAGCTCAGGACCTGGAGACAGCCCCCTTATATGCCCTGGGCGCTGTCTCCTGATTCTGCACCCCCCAGTAGCCCTTTCAGTAGCCTCAGCCAGACCCCAGGAGCTTGGAGAGGGCCAGGCTGGTCACTCTACCCCCAAGCGAAGCTCCTCAGGGACCCCCACACCTCAGGCAGACCCCAGAGTCTCAGCTGGTCTCCAGGAGGGTCACCCACAGGCCCAAGGGTCTCCTCCCTGATGGCAGTCCCTGCTTTCCTAACGCAGGCCCTTCTCTGCTCCAATGCAGCGGCTCTGTCTCCTCACAAACTTCGCCCCTCCGAGGAGTCAGACCCCACCAGGGCCTGGCAGACCTGCCGTGGCATCCACAGCACCTGCCTGGCTCTCCACCTCCACCGGCAGGCTCATCTGCCCCTGCTGGCCCAGAGCCATGGTTGGCCCTCCTTTCTGGCTGATGCAGAGCCATGTCATATCCTCTTCAAGGCCACAACCCACGGACTTGTCAGGACCCTGGAGGCACTCCTCCCAGAGGGGGCGTCTCCCTCCCAGCAACCTCCCAGCACCCTGAGAATGGCTGCAGGGCAGTGGCTGCTGCACTGTCTCAGCTCCATCGCTGAGCTGGAGCCCCAGGTGGTGGGCTTCTCAGGGGGGAGTCTGTCTCTCTTCTGGTGATGGGAGGGGTGACTGTCAGGCCTTGGCACCTATCAGTCAGATGCAGCAGGGCAGTCTAGGATGTCTAGCTGCAGCTGATCCTCTGATGGTTGGAAAGGTCCTAGATGGGGGAGGAAGATTATCAAGGGCTCAGGCCACTATTTGCCCTGGCTTGGCCAGTCCTGGTGACTCAGTGAGCAGTAGGCAGGAAGGGGCCATCTCTGGTCATAGTTCTGGGACTCTGATAAGACCATCCTGAGCAGAGGAGACACTGGGGACCTCATAATGGAACCCAGAAATGCATCAGCTTCCAGGAGTGAAGAAGAGGGAAGACAGGAGGTGTGGTCCTGGAGGACTTCCTGGAGGAGGTGAGATAGAGATTTGCATAGTCAACAAAGAAGGAAATTTCAAGAACATTACAAGGGGAGAGGAACGAGGGTTGAGGAATAGCTCATGAGGCATTTGTGGCATGAGCAGTGGACATGATGGGGAGAGCCCTGGAAGCGTGAATCAGCAGGCAGGTGGGACAGGGAGCCAAGAGCAGGCAGGACTGTGGGGGACAGACGACAAGGCCACTGGACAAGGAAAGGATGGGGAAGGAAAGGCACAGGGGAATCCAGAGGCCCAGAGCAGGATGACACACCCTGATCCACTGAAAAAGCAGAGGCTCCTGTCCCTTGGTGGCCCAACTCTGTCCCTCCATTCCTGGGCCATCGCTCCTTTTTGTTGGTGGTCATGAGTGGCAGGACATTTGCTCCCAGGAGGTAGTAGCTTGGCGCTGGAGATGCCAAGGGCAGGGTCTCACAGCAAGGAGAGCTCCCAGCCCCTCAGTTTGCTGAGATTCTCAATCAGTTGCAACAGGAAGAGAGGCCCAGGCACACTGCAGAGAGCGGTTAGTAACTGAATGTCTGCATTTCACGTCTTTAACACAAAACCTCCTCCGTGCAACATACTCTTCCTAGTCACCAGGCAGTTACAGGATTGAAGACTAACACCGGGAATCACAGGTGGGCGGGCTGGCATGCAAGCCAGACGGGAGGCTTGGCGGGTGTCTCTCCGCGTGTCGGTGGACCCTGCGATGTAGGCATAGCTGTGGTTGAAGCCGATGTAATGACTCACCTGAAGCAAGGGCCTTCAGGAGCACGAGGTCTCCGCCAAGTGGACCTCCTGACCCCTCATCCACCCCCAGACTGGCAGGCGGGCACTGGGCAGGCCCAGGCGTCTCCCATGCCCTCCGCCTGGCAAGACATTTGCCTCTTTATGGAGGCAGATGCAGAAAGATCGCACACGTGGGTCCAAAATGAAATTCAAATGGTTTTTACAAGGAGATGCCAGGCATCCGAGGCCCAGGGTCTGGACAACACAGGGCTCTGCTGGCGCCGGGGCCTGGCATGTCTCTTCCTGAGCTTCCAGCAGCACCTGTGCCCTGGAGCTGCTGGCATGGAGGTAGCTTCTCCCCATTTTGCTGCTGGCCTTCCCTAGAACAGAGGGTGCTCCGGGTTTTCTCAGATGTCAGGGCTCAAAGGGAGGGCAGGAAGTCCAGACTCCATCTTCTTCGGCCCAAAACCTAAACTTTCACCCAGGTTCTCTGAGCTATATCCAGCTGGTGGCTTCTAAAGAGAACTGGACACCATGGCATCTGCCAGCCCAGACGCCTGACTATCACCAGCGGAATAAGCCAGACCCAAGAAAATGCTTGTGAACAGGGATCTCTGTTCCCATCGCCACTGCCAGAAGGGCCAACACACATTCCTCCATGTGATTTATCTGCGCATTCATAAGCCCAGGGAGAGCCTCCCTCTTCTGCCAGCATTTTGGGAGAATGCCCAGGAACTGCGCAAGGAAATCAGATTCCCCGGTAGCTGCTTTCAAAGGCCACAGATACTCTAAAAAAGACAGAGATGGAACTGAAACTCGGACTTGGGAGAGTCACCTTGCTGGGGACTCACAAAGAGCGAGGAAGTGCAGGGGTGTTGTGGCCCCGAGTCAGCCCTTCTCTTGTCCATACCAGCCAGCAGGCATCTGCGCTGAGCTGGACAGTGGCCCAGCTCAGCAAGGCTGACATCTCAGTTCACATCAGAGGTCAGCAAAGCAGGGTGACTGGAACATAGAGACCCTGCCATGATGATGGCAGCTCACTCGGAGGGCCTGGGCATGCCCCGCAGCCGCTGAGCCCTGTGAGGGGGATAGGAGGCTGACAAAGGGCTCCGGGAGAGGTCAGCAAGTGGCCACGCAGATTCCAAAGCCGTCTTCTCTGTTCCAAAGGCGTCCTCCCTGCCTAAGCTGAAATAACAACTTTGAGGAGACAAAACACTTTTTACCATCCACGGACTCTTGCTACCAAAGATCCTTCCAAAGATCTGTACCCGCCCCTCACCAGAGAAACTTAATCCCCATGAAGCTCTGCCTTCCAAGATGTTTGGACAACTCTGGGTTGACTCTTTTCCCAGGACCATGCTGACCACATGATCGTCTTCTTGGGTATGCCAGGTACCCACTGTCGGCCCACACCTGGACCACACTGAATAATAACCCTCACCTGGATGCAACATCTAACAGATCACAGATCATGCAGGCTTGCTCTGTCACACAGCCAATGCCCTTAACCTTCAGCAAAACTCTGTTATTCATGGAACACAGTTAAATCAGCCCACTTTGTTCCGACATGTTCTCGTCATTTCTGAGACATGGTGTCAACTGTCACTAGATGGAAATGAACAACTTAGGAATCGAAAAAAGGAAGAACAAAAGACAGTTTCTAAAGATTCAAATAATATATATGCAAAGATCCCCCAGCAGAAGTGACCACAAAACACTCCACTAATGTAGGATTTTGTGTTCTGCAAATAAAGCATGCTAGCTGCGCCAGCTCATTTTTTGAGTACCACGCCTAGTGTTCCCTTTTCCAGGCCAGAACCCCTAATGCCAAGCCTCTTGGAGTGGGGCCGGGGGAGGGGGTGCTCCCTGTTTGGCCATGAACCCATTCCATGACCCGGAGAAAATTTCTGTCTTCTCTTCCAATATCAGGAGGAGATATCCTTCCCCGAAGTGAGATGTCCAGCTGAAGTCAGCTAAAGTCCATAGAGAGAGGGGGGTGTCGACACCAGCACCCCAATTTCAGTTCGTTGTCGAGGGGCAGTGCTCCAAACACAATGCCAGAGGACAATGATTGACCATAAAAATGTGAAAATCTGGGCAGTTCCTAGAGCTGCCCAGATAGCAGTGGAACCTGGTTTGTGCTTTCTTTCCCTTTGAATGACTTCCTCTGCAAAGTGCCCAAGTTCAGAAAGTTCTAGGGCACTCTACCAGGCTACCCTTATTCTCAAAAGTTGCTGTGCTCTGTGGGTGACCTCTTGGGCTTCCTCCAGCCCCTCCTAATTCTTCCAGGGAAAGATAGGGTCACCTGACCCCACCATAGTGCTGGTGGCCAGGATCTGAGCTAGATCTTGGACACCTTGACACCCCAGGCTGCTGCTGCCCTGTGGCAGGCTGCATGGCACAGGGTCCCAGGACAAGCAGGGGTTCCCCAGGGCCTTTGGGGGTGCCTGAGCTCAGGCTAACCTTGTCCTTCACCATCTCCCTGACTTCAATCAAACTCATGTCCATCGAGTCAGTGAGGCCATCCAACCATCTCATCCTCTGTCATCCCCTTTTTCTCCCGCCCTCAATCTTTCCTAGCATCAGGGTCTTTTCCAAAGAGTTGGCTCTGTGGCCCAAGTATTGGAACTTCAGTATCAGTCCTTCCAATGAATATTCAGGGTTGATTTACTTAGGATTGACTGGTTTGATCTCCTTGTTGTCCAAGGAACTGTCAGGAGTCTTCTCTAGCACCACAGTTCGAAAGCATCAATTCTTCGTTGCTCAGCCTTCTTCATGGTCCAAATCTCATATCCGTACATGACTCCTGGCCACGATCTAATACCACTTTCTCTCTTTATCTATTTTTTTTATGGTAACCTCTTTATGGTAATGACACAAACTTATTTTTTAAAAATAAATTCACTCTTTTAGTAAAATACATGTCTTGTTCAAAGAAAAAAAATGTGTAAATAATGGTTTCAAGGAATAAAATCTACAATGAAGTTTGGAAACACTGAGTCTGATCCTGCCTCTGACATCTGAAAGGCTTTCATAGCATCCCCACCAGAAGAGGGGCCAGTCCTGCTCACACACTTCCCATGATGGGGAGCTCACTACATACAAAAGGCAGGCAGTCCTATTTAGCTTTCCAGGGCCGTGCTGAGCCCAGGTCTACAGGGCAACTCGACTCTCCATCCTCACGGGGACACCTCTGTATAATGGGCACCTATGCACACCCGCAGCCTGCTCTGCCAGGTAAAACAGCCAACTGGGCAGCAATTCTACTTCCTCTTGGAGGGAGTCTCGCCACCCAGGAACAACAGTTGGTGGTTTTTTCTCTTAAAGAGCAGCACCAGGAGTGGAGGCCAGTGTTCCAGGAGGAGCTGGACCTTTCCCGGCTTCCAGGAGTGGAGGCTTGGAGGCAGCCACTAGCCCTGGGGACATCACCAGGGATTCCCAGGCCCACAAGAGAGTGGGCAAAAGCTGGGCTCTGAAGGAAGAGCATTTCACAAATAACTGTGTGAACGGGGCCTTCGCCTACAAGCCCCAGCACCTCTTCCTCTGACTTGGACTGCCCCCCTCCGCCTCCCCCATAGGAAGAGGCCAGCCTCTCATACCTCCTTTGTGGTTCCGTGAGCTTTACAACCCTAGGGTCACATTTTGGTCATTATTCTGTTACCCAACTTATCTCAGGATTCAAACACAGACACACGCATGGTTCACTTTTATAAGTTTCTTTTCAAAATAGATGTAAAGGAAAATAAGGAAAAACTGTGGAGTGTTATTGTGATCAGCTACTAATATGTCACTTCCTGGCAACCCTTAGTCATTACATGGGCCAACTTCTTGCCCTGTTTTATTTTATTCAGTGTTTTCAATAGCCCTTTAAGGAAGCTTCATCATCACTCTTCAGTATGCTGTTTCATTCAACTGTGCTAAAACATCGTTACTGAAAGTGTTTCCCCAGTGGCTCAGTGGTAAAAAAAAAAAAAAGTTTCCTGCAATGGAGGAGAGGCAGCAGATGTGGTTTAGAGGAGGGTTCGACCCCTGGGTAGGGAAAACCCCTTGGAGGAGGCAATGGCAATCCACTCCAGTATTCTTGCCTGGGAAAATCCCAATCCATGGGGTCCCAAAACAGTTGGACATGACTGGCCAACTAAACTTGTCATCACTCCCGCTTTACCGATGACGAAACTGAGGCTCTGAGAGACTAAGCACTGTGTTAAAGGTTAGGAACATGGGAGGATCTGAAGACTCCCTCATGCTGAGGGCAAAGGGTCTAGTGCTCTGCCCACGCCTGACATCTACTGACGTCAAAAAAAAAAGGATCCTTTTACTGAAAAGGCAACATGCAGAAAACAGTGGAGTCCCCAAGGGAGGTGCCGGCCTCACCATACCGGCACGACCTGGCCCACGTCCTGGGCACGTCCCCAAACACGCAATCCCTAACTCTCAGGGGCTCCAGGCGCACCCGAAGGGCCACGCACTGGTGGACGTCCCAACCTGGACCAAGGCCAGACCGAGGCCGGCAGTGGCCGCGGTACCGGAGCCTCCGCCCCGGCCCCCACCTACCACAGGAGGCCTTTCCGAAGCGGTAGGGCGGGAAACTCACTCCCTCCTACGTCCTGTCCCACCGTCTCCGTCCCACCAGCCCCGGTTCAGTTCCGAGTCAGCTTGAAACTGAGTCGCAGCGTGACCTGGGCAGCAGACTTCACCGCTTGACTCTCGGTTTCTGGCCTGTGGCTCCGAGATGAGGGTCTCCTGGAGTTGGGACGAATTAGTCAGCGAAGGCGCCCAGCCAAGAGCCGGCTCCAAGAGCACGTGGGGCTCTGGTGCGGCGGCGACCTAGGGGTTGGAAAGGCGTCCAGGGCCCCGCTCCTCTGCCCGCGCTCCTTGCCTCCTGGGATCTCGCGCCCCCTCCTCCCTGCTCCAGCCCCGGGCTCCTCCCCTCACCTCTCCAGCCCCGCCCGCTCCGCCGCTGCCGCGAGGAGGCCAGCTGTCACCTCAGTGGGAGGGCCCTGGGGCGCGAGGGGCCGGGCCCAGCCTACTCGGCACTGCCATTGGCCAGAGTAGGTGAGGCCTCCGCGGGGGGCGGGCCCGGAGAGGATGAATGAAGCAGGAGTGGGCGCCGAGCGGCAGCCAGAGCGTGGTGAGCAGCGTAGCGGCCCGGACCTCTGGACGGTAAGTGCGCCGGACAGCGAGGGCCGCGGAGGTTCAGGGCGCCTTCTTGGGCGCGCCGCTTAGGGGCGCCGTGCCGCGACCTGCTGACGTCAGGGGCGCGGCAGGTGCCCGCAGACACTGGGTGGGGGCTCTGGGATCGAGGTGGCGCCGGCGCTGGCGCGGGTGGAATGCCAGGCAGCGCGGGACGCTGGAACCCGGCAGTGTGCCCCGCCGCCCGCCTGTCGCTTGGGACCGGCTGCAAAACTGACCCCCTCTCGCTGCCAGTTCCCCGGTCAGGGCGCCTCCGCGGAGGCGCGCGGAAGGTAAGGGGACGGGTGTTGATTGGGGCTCGGGCGGGAATGGAGGGATTGCCGGGGGTGGTTGCCGGGGCAGGTGGCCCGGCGCGCACGCAGCTCAGGCCACGCGGATCGCGCCAATACAGACGCGCCTCTCGGAGCGGCTGGGCCTCCACCTGCGGCGGATGCCGCCACTGCTGAGTCAAGGAGGAAATCGTCATGAACAGAAGTTTCTCGCGGGTGGCCTCGCTTTGTTCGCGCCACCGCGCTCCAGACACCACGGGGAGGGGAGCGCGGGCGGAGCCGGCTCCGCGGGCTGGGCGGGGTGGGTGCGAGGGACTGGTCCCAGCCTGTGCGTTGCCGGGCGCTCCGCTGTCCCCGCCCCGCCAGGGCGAGGTCCCCGAGCCCTGCACAGAGCCGGGGCTTGGGTACAGGGGTCCGGGAGCTGAGGGAGGATGGACAAGGGTACAGCCCATGCTCTGCGCCCAATGGGCAGCTTGGCCAGAGACCTGGAAACCATGGCAGAGGCTGGGATTCCAAGCCCAAGGAGCAAGCCTGGGCATTACCGAACCTGGTAGGGAGAACCCAGCCAGGTACTGGGGTCTGGCCTCCGGGGAAGAGGCCCGTGGTTCCCCCTCCCCTCCCGCCACGTGCCCGGCTGGGGACTCCCTCTGCTGGGTCAGACTTCGTGTGGGGCCTGTTTCTCTCAGGACCACAGGAGTTTTCCACAGTGAAGTAACCAAGTTCCTAGTGACCGCTTTTCATGGTGCTTTTGGGAACTTGGGTTTGTTCTGTCTGATCAGAAACAGGCTCCAAGGAGGAGGTGGGTGAACCGTGATCACTGTGGTGCTGTTTGGTTTTCTTTGTGTAGCCTGGAGCGTGTGGACTTCAGGGGAGACCCTGGGTTCAGCCAGGTCGGAGGAGCTCTAATACCAGCAGCAGTCTCACGACAGCAGGCTGAGCTCTTGGGTCACTGAGCACTTAGCACAGCAGGCCTTGTGCTGCAGGCTTTGAGTATCAACTCATGGAAACCTCCTTCCACTCACAAGGGAGCTACTGTTGCTCCCACTTCCCAGATGAGTAAACCCAGGCACTGAGCTGCAAGATGACTTGCCCAAAGTCACACTGGAGAATGTGGTAGAGAGGTTTGAGTCCATGTTTGTGTGATTCCAGACATTCTACAGCTCTGTACGTGGGGAAGAAGGAAACCCAGGAGAGCCAGGCCTGACACAGGGCAAGGTCCCCAAAGGTGGGTGGCACCTTAGGGGACAGGAGCATTTGGCTGGACAGCCCAGGCCCATGGGGGCAGGGAGGAGGTTTCCCCAGGTGCTGCCAGAGGGCAGGGAGGGAGAGGCTTCCTGGTGGGACCCCCACCTGCACCCTGACCATCCTGCATCAGGACACATCCCTCGGTCTTGCTGGGCAGGGTTGGCAGACACTGCCTGGAAATTTTTCACATGGCTGCTATCTACCCAATGGCTATGACCTAACCCTGGTTCCCTGGGCATGGCCCCTGTGGCAGGTGTCCCAACCAAGTCCCTCCCCACTGCCATGGTAAGGCGGCTGGGAGATGGGAAGTCAGACAGGACAGCCGTGTGAGGGAGGTCTTGGGGCTGGTGTCTAGTCCTGGACTCCAGTCTGGTTTGAGTGCCCAATTCCCAAGGACTCAGCTTGGAGAGGCTGACCCTTGCTGGGTCCTGATGGACCTTGGACTGGTTGTGGCTTGGGATCTGGGTTATGTCTGGCTTCCAAACAGTTAAGTTCTCCCTTGCTTGCTGCGAAATCCAAGTTAACTCCAGGGCTCAACACCGTCTCCTCCATGCCCTCCGTCTACTCGTCTCCATGAGTGCGAATCCAGCCCAGGTCAGCACTGCTAAGCTGTACAAATTCGCAGCTTCATACACTTTTGCTCTGGAGTGAGTTTCTGCTACTTGTCAGTTTGAGCCTCCCCACAGGCTACGGGGAGGTGCTGGCACAGACCCAGGTGCTTGCCATCCTGATGGCACAGTAGGCCCAGTGGGGGGCCCAGAGGACTCGCCCTGGCCCAGTTCCCGCTTCCTCTATTGCTTCCTCTGACTGGAGTGTGGACAGAGACCATGAAAATATTCCCCCTGCCATCCCGAGCCTTCTGCCCTCAGGGGCAGCAGAGAGCCCACTTCCCGCACCTGGAGGGGTATATATGATAGTCTTTGGGACACTCAGCCACTTTTGTTCCTGGACATTCAGCTGCTGTGTGGCCTTGGCATGGTCGTGGTGAGCATGGGTGCCCACATCTGGGCAGGACCCCCGTCTTCACTATGGACAGGCCTGCTGGGACCCTGCCCCAAGACAAGGCCCACCAGCTTGGACCTCTGATGACCTGGGCTCACAGAGATTCAGTGGAGCCAGGTTCTGCTGTGGGGGAGGGGGGCTATCCTAGCTACGGACACACTGGACCCAGGATGTGCCTCCCGTGGGCTGGTCATGGGGACCCTTCCTCTGCTGACCCAGGTCAGCCCTCAGCCCGCTGATGTCCATGACGGCCATAGCACAGCCCCCTTCCCACCAGAATTAGCCTCTTGGACCACATCTCTGGGGGCGGAGGACACACTCACAAACCATGTGCCTCTTACAAAAGCTGCTAGCCAGTGAGGCTGCCTCAGGTCCAAGTACCAGGCTGGCCTGGATCTGCTTGTCAGTGTCCAGAGTCACAGGCTCCCGGACTGTGGGCTACCAACATGTCCTCTCCTCCCATGTGGCCGGGGGCCACATGAACATCCTCACCATGGGGCCGCCTTTCCCCAGTGTCTTTTTTACTCAGCAAGCCTTGGAGATACCTGAGGAATCCCCCCTCCACCCAGAAGACAGGAGTCTTGGGATCACTGGGCTGAGGGTGGCGCTCCCTTCCCACCCGGGCTTGCTCAGGGCCCAACCTCTCGGTGGATGCATGGGGCTGGTACTTGGACCCATAAGCCTAAGAGGCCACCTGGGAGTGGCAGTGTCTGGCCTGTGGCAAGGCAGGCCCATCATGTGGACAGAATCTGCTCCCAGCACCCCCAGAGCCGTGAGAGCCTTTGCAGGTCTGTTCACCCAACCCTCCCACAGCCTGGGCTTGGGCTGTGGATTCAGGGTGGGAGCAGGAATGTCCACGCTGAGACAGCAGGACACTCCCTGCTGGACAGGTCCTCCCAGGTCTCCTTCAGACAGTCCTTCATTGTCGGCCTCCATGCAAAGCAGCCGGCTCCCTGCCCACTCACCTGTGTGTGGTCACCAGGTTTGCAAATTAGGGTGTGCCGATGCTGCTGTGGCTGCCCCAGGTCCAGCCGCCCGGGAGTCTGCTCTGCAAATAGCTTTGAGACGTGAAAGTCCCTCCTCTTCCCCACCCAGTCAGAGGAGGAGAGAGCAGGAGGAGTTTAGGAGGCGAGGGGAGAGGGCTGCCTGCAGAGCCCCCAGGGTCATGGGGAATGGAAGGAGCAGGGTGGGGAGGCCGGGAGACAGCCAACGGGGCCATGGTACAGGAGCTCCGTGGGTCTGCTGTGTCTGTGTGGGGCAGTCACCGCCGTGTGGTCGTGGCTGGTGGCCTTGGAGCAGTCAGGTCGGGATGTCTGCTGGCTGGAGCACGAGGAGGAAGGAGAAATGAAACCTGCGATTCTTCCCTGGCTGCCAAATTCTCAGTGGCATCAGGACGGAGCCTGGAAGCACCCCACACATGTGGACGGGCCCCACCTGCACACTCCAGCCTCAGGTCTCCCTGGGGCATTTGCTCCAGCTGCGGCCAGACTATCCCATGGGGAGCCAGGCTGAGGAGCCTCAGGGGCCCAGGCACCACCACCTGAGGCTTAACATATTACTCTGGGTAATCCTGCATCCTTCCTACCTGCTGGGCTTTGCAGACAGACTTCAACTGGGAAGAGTAAATGCCTGAGGCAGGCCTGAGGAAGAAGTGGGCAGGGCCAAGCAGGTGAATGTGAAAACCACTGAGGTCAGTCCTTTACTGACCCTAGGATCTCAGTTCTTATAGGCAGGGCCACAGTGAGCCACCCACGTGGGGCTGCGGGCGACTGTGAAGATGCAGGAGGATGGGGGAGAAGGAGCCAGGAGGGGACCCGGAGTCCTCGGCACAGGCACCTCGGTATGCAGCTGATGTCCAGGTGTTGGAAGAAACCTTATCCTGCTAAGATAGCTGTACATGAACACACAAGTACTCACACACGCATGCACCTGGGTGCACTCTCCCGCTTGTCTCACGGAAGCCCCAGGTGCGGAGCTGATGGCTGGAGGCCCCAGGGAGCATGTTGTTCTGCTAATCCTCCTGCCTAATCCTTCAGGCTCTGACTTCCCCCAGGGAACAGGGAGAGAGAGGCTCTGGCAAGAGAGGAGACTCCCCCCACCCCATCCCCTCCTCCTGCTTCCGACCTGCTGCTGCCTGGCCAGGAGCAAGCCGGGGTGGGACAAGGAGCAGGCGTGGGTGGGACAAGATTCCCCTGCAAGAGCAGGCTCCCCCGGGGAGAGCTGTGTGCCCTGCGTGGCTGAGGATGACAGTCACTCTCTTCCCTGCACATGGAGGGGATTCTCTGTGCATCTAGGGCCAGGAGGGTGGTCAAAACCTTCACAGAGTTGTTCACAGCCTCAGACGTCTTTCCATGAGAACCAGGGCAGTAGAGCAGCAGAGTGGGCCTGGCTGGGTGGTTAGCAGGTGCCCCAGGGCCACCAGTCCCCTGCTGCCCCTTGCTTTGGGGTCACATG